GCAGGTGAGAGCCGAGGGAACGGTGTGGGCGTGGAAGGAGGAATGCCGTGGGGCATGGAAGGAAGAACGGCATGGGGCGTGGAAGGAGGAATGCCGTGGGGCATGGAAGGAAGAACGGCATGGGGCGTGGAAGGAGGAACGGCATGGGGCGTGGAAGGAGGAATGCCGTGGGGAGGGTATGTACAGTACAACACGTGCAGCAGCAGACATTCATGCATACCTGCACTCAGGCACGTTCTCATACATTGATGCACACACTCATGCATTCACAAGCACTTGTACACTCAAACACACACACACGTACTCACACACGCACACAGACAGACACAGACACACACAGACATACACACGCATGCATGCGCACCCATAGGTGTGAATTTTACCTTGTGATTTACATTGCTGGATCTTTCTTTGTATGTGAGTGTTTCCTTATGTACAAGTATACATTGTGCATGCTTCAGGCTGCTGGACCACATTAATGAAGAGCTAGAACGCGGAGGGCAAGAATTAAGTCTCACAGAATCAAGATGTGGCAGCTACCGCAAAATCAGCAGGTACGCAACTGTAGAAGTTTTTATCAATCAACATACATAAATTCACATACACACGCACACGCACACATGCACCCACACGTACATGCGAAAAACACAAACACGCACGCACTCACACACGCATCTACACACACGCACTCACACACATTTATTTATTTATTTATTTAATAATATCATATGTTTAGTAGTTATTTATGCATATTTATACATGAACATTCAAGAAAGGTTTACATAGTGTTTAGCAGATGTTTGCGTTTTCGTGGTGTGAGCTTTTTCTTGCAATCTTGTAACGCAGCCTGCTTCTTCTGGGACGTTTCTGCACGGGACTCGCTGAGTTAAGCCCTAGCTTGCAGCAGTGTCTGACCAAAGCAGGACCGCGCACTGGCCACGAGGGATCACCACTGTTACGGATCTTATCGACGAGTAAACTTCAGTCTAAGGTAACACGGTCACGATATTTCAGACTACCGGGTAAACTGGCATTTCCTGACTCCTTATACTGATCGTCATTTTGAAGCAGCTTATTTAATTCACAATTATAGATATATAGATTATAGATACAGACACAATGGTAGTGACAGGGCTGGTTTATGGACGTTGTAATATTCCATAAGATTTATAAGATGCACCTGCATATCTTCTATCACCCCAACCCCACCCAATCTCAACCCCTCCACACCACCCAACCTCAACCCCTCTACCCCACCCAATCTCAACTGCCACCCAAGCCCACCTCCCCACCGCTCGACCATCTTCAGACCACCCTGCTTCATCCCACCCCGCTATCTCATTGGCCTTGCCCTGTCCCACCTACCCCATCGCACTACATTGCCTCACCCCACCCAGTCCTACCCCTGCCCTACCCCACTCCCCAGCTGCCACAATCACTGCACTCCTACCCCATCCCTTCCCAATTCCTACTGCACTCCACCCCAATCTACCTCACTCCACTGCACACTTGCCATTTTGTTTGACATCTCCATCCAGTCCTTGTGTCATCGCTCGTCTCTTCACGTAGCGTTTGTTCTCGCTCTCACAGAGCAAGGATGAGGAGGAGCAGCAGCAGCAGGAGGAGGAGGTATGGCAGCACAGCAGGGCAGCACTGACCGACACATGGCTGCGAGCGTGCCGGCTGTGGGCCGACCACACGGCCGCCGCCCTCGTCGCTACGTTGCGCTCGAGCCTGCTGGACGCGCGTGGCGCCCCCGCACTGCTGCGCCAGACGCCGGTAAGTCCGCCGCCGCGTGATGCGTCGAGAAACGAACCCTTGTCGGAAAGTGCGAGGAACGGCCACCAGATGTCGCCTGACCATTTATTGCGCATTGTGACAATTCACATGGGTGCGTTCACCATGTCTGGTGAAAAAATACAAGAGTGCGCAAAGTGTTTATATAGACTTCAAAACTAGCGCCCTCTGGCTATATGTCTTCAGGACTATTTTCTCGGATTGTTCGAGATTGATGGAGCCGAGGTGTGTTAGCCGAAGTGGCTTCCTTTGCAGGTTTGGGAGAATATCGAGATCCAAGAGGAGGCAGAAGAAGGCGAGACTGTCAGCTCGATCATCAGAGTGCCCGCTCAGGTGAATTCCAGCGAGGAGTTTCGTAGTTTTGGTCTCGTTAAAGTATTGCTGAGGCTTGTTAACGAATAGTATCACTAAGTATAGTATACCATTAATCATTACATTTGTGATGCGATATAACTCATAGAAGGCTCAGAGTTAACTGTTTGAAAAGTTGTGGAAGTTTAGATTACGAAATGTCATAGGCATTAGTGTTTGTGTTTCAGGCTTCTTGGTATATCCATACACTTCTGAGCGATCTCTGCATGCAAATCAATCAAGTGGGTGGTCATGCGTTCAATAGGTAAACTATTTCCTTCAACAGTTACATCATACTTAACCTAGTGGTAGTTTCTTTTTTGTCTGCAACTCAAACTGTGGTCGTGGGGATTAGCTCCCTCACCCATGACTACAATGGAACTGCAAATAAGTATAAAGTTTGTATTGTAATTAATATGCTCTACGTTACATAACTTGGCTAACCAGGTTTGGGTAGTGAACGATGAACTTAGGAACCATTAGTTAAAGGAATAATAGGTCCATTGATTATGCAATGTTGACGAATGCTAGAGTAACTGGCACCTTGTGTAGTTAATAAGTACATTACCTTATAGCCAAACGCGTATTAGTTTGTCCAATATCACTGCTGGTTACATTACAAGCAAGACTTGAAATCGGTTGTTGATATTCATTTACGTGTTGTAAACGTCATCCAGGAGTCGAGCGATAAGTCGCCGATGACGTAAACATTTGTGCGGCCCGTATGTTTTGGACGCCAGATGAAATGGAGGTGTCAGCTGTGTAACCACGGTCACGGACTAAACATGGAAATGGAGTAAAACACACGTACTAATCACGGACACACATGGACAGCCCTGACAAAAAGTTCCTTATCACGAGTGTTCGTGTTTACGAAATCACTGATGATAGCATTGCGTACGGCCGAGCATGCGTGCGAAAATGTCCGGTGCACTATAAATCTGTATCACACCCGCTTCGCCGGCAGCGGTTTGAAAGTGAAACTGTAAACTGTAAACATTTCTTGGACTACGGATTTCAATTAGACATTTCTTAGTAACCAGCAGTGATATTGGACAAACTAATACGCGTTTGGCTATAAGGTAATGTACTTATTAACTACACAAGGTGCCAGTTACTCTAGCATTCGTCAACATTGCATAATCAATGGACATATTATTCCTTTAAATGGCAGTGGCAATAATGATAGAAATTTAATACCAACGAGAATCACAACAAAAAACAATGTGATGCTATAAGTGTAAAACGTTTCACATTCTGCCTTTCGATAGCAGATGCATATTTTATAGTTTACAGTGATGCCCGGTGCGATACTTTAAAGGAAAAGGATCTGGTATTCACACATGTTGCAAGCCACGTACAAAAAACATTCATCCCTCTGTGTGCTGGCAATTTTGCTGTGACTAAGCTTACTATTAAAACAGCCCGTGCAAGGATCATTAATCATCTGTGGGCAAGGTTCTTGGTCAAACTGATTGCCTGCACTTACATATATCAGATCTTATCCCGTTTTTAATAACTTTGCGTGACACAAATTGAAAAAGCAACGAGAATGAAAACTAGTCGGACACTACTTAATGAAGTGTAATCATTTTGCCATCCCCTGGCAATTGAGAGCTGATGCATATTTTATAGTTCACGACAAGGCTCCCTGTGCAATAAAATGCCTCGTTAATATCGCGCCCCCTACAGGTCAGTCCTGCAGGAGGTCGTGCGGAAGACAGCAGATGGCGTGATTGCTGCGTACGAGCGTCTACGCGACGTCCGGGGTGGCGCATCCAAGGGTGATGCCGCAGCGACTCGTCTCTCCCAGACGCGTGCGCTGCAGCTGCTGTTTGACATCCGCTTCGTTAGTAGCATCCTTGTCGGCCGTGATGACTCCGAGGTTAGCGGCATCTCGTGTTGTTTCTCATATTACATTTAATATTGTCTCCTATTGCATTTAATATTTGTGTCTCATATTTTATTTAATATTGTTGTCTCATAGTGCATATCATATTGTGTCTCTTATTGCATTTAATATTGTTTCTCTTATTGTATTTAATATTGCACTTCATATTGTATCTCATATTTTGCCTCATTTTGTGTCTCATGTCTAATTTGGAGGTCTCACTGGTGAATGTTGTTTTTTGTAATTACATGAATTTAACGTAACATTTACGATCGTGCGTCGTGGACCAGATGAGTAGATGTGAATCGACGTCAATATGATTTAACATAACGTTGAAAGCCTAAACCTTTGAGTGTGTGTGTGTGTATTTTGAACGATTTTTTTTCTTTTGATTTTATTTATTTACTTGCGTATGTGAGTTGCTGTCATCACGTGGCTTATTCTGTTTCTGTTAACTGTCCATGAGTACACCATGCACATAGGCGTTGCATGTCAATATTTATACATGCAGATTGTTGTATGATTTAGTGCACTGCTCTACTCCATGTTAAATTCAGTGCAAAAATTCACACACGACTCGTGTGCCTGGTGTCACGTTAACTGTAGAGAGCAGTGCTCTAGATCTACTGCGTGCAACAATTTGTACACACAAATCATAGCATACAGCACGTATGTGTATAAAGATGTGCTTTACTCATCGTGTTGCAGGTTGGAAAGGCTCTCTCAGAGAGAGTGGAGAGGCTCACTGACGAGGTGGAAAGTCACATCGACCCATTTGACCTTGACGTCTTTGCTCCGCACATCCGAAATAACCTGTCGAGACACGTCCAGCGTTGCCAGGTTAGACGGCGGTTGCTAATGACAACCACTATTGCCGTTGACGATTGTCAACAGAAGTACGGATGCAGCTTCGAGGCTCTTCTGGCTGCATGATTCGATAAACTGTTGGCGGTTAAAAATTATCAACCTCACAAGTGTACTTATTGTGCACTAATTCATAATTCCCTGACCCCACAATAAGGAAAAATAAAATGTTGGTTATTCGTATTTGATGAGAAGGTATCAATCAACATTCGTTGGTATTTTTAAGAGGAGCATGGCCACTGACCACCCTCCAGTGCATGGTTTGTAAGCTTGTAATAATGTTGATAAAGTTGAATGCCACCCCCTTCCCAGTCAATATACGAAATTATCTCAGCTCACGCATCTCATTGCATTGATTTATTTTTGCAATCGTTTATCTTTTTCTCTATTTAGTTTCTCTACATTTTTTCTATTATTATAATAACGATTGATTATTGCATTACTTGATTACGTATATTATTGTATATAATTATGTACCTCTGTGTGATTGCGTTGTTGACGTCTCGTGGTAGGTGATGCTGGGTGCGGTGACGGGGCTGGATAGACTCGGTCTCTACGCTTCGACGCGCGCTCTGTCGAGCGGCGGTCAGGAGCAGCACAACGTGCTCCTGCTGAGCGCGTCGGCCGGCGTTCGCTTCCCGCTGCTCCCCGTCAGCTCTCAGCACCCGCCGCCTCTCATCGACTACCTCACGCCGCAGTCTCCGCTCGCAAAGTCGCAGGCAAGTCGGGTCATCGTGGGGCGACCGTCGTCAGAATCGAGATATTTTGTTAAAAGTTTACAGAGTTAACTAATTGTTTGACTAATAAGCCATATATCGGAAAGTCCCCGCCTCCATATTGAGATCAGATAAGAGTGGTGATAAGTTGCCTATATATAACATAGTTACGATAGTACTAGTCTAGGTTTTTGATCTATGATTCTCTTCACTAACATCGTACTTCAATTTACAGGTGCGTTTCTGTTTACAGAAACATTTACAAATATGATTGTGGTCATTTGGGATATTTTGCAATGTTTGTGATAATGCAAAAACTAAAAACGCAATAGTGTTTACATTAATCATGTACTTTCCGTAGCGCGCCGCGGCCATTTTATCCTTTTTCTATGACCTAAATAACACAGCTGGACTTTCCGATATCACTTATTTAGAAAGTTTTGCACAGCGGGGTAGTAGCATTAATCTATATGGTCTATATTTGTGTTTCTCAATCTCGGGTTCGTGACCCCTGTGGATCATAGGCCCCACCACCGAATATGTTGTCTAATCACATTTGTCTCACGATGCGACAGCGTATCCCACCACACAGCCTTGTCTCACCATGGGACAGCGTGTCTCACCACACAACCTTGTCTCACCCTGCGACAGCGTGTCTCACCACACAACATTGTCTCACCCTGCGACAGCATGTCTTACCACACAACCTTGTCTCACCCTGCGAGCAGTAGTGTCCGACACAGACAGCCTGACTCGCCCGTGCGACAGCGTATCTCACGCCCACACAGCTCTGTCTCACCCTGCGACAGCGTGTCTCACCACACAACCTTGTCTCACCCTGCGACAGTGTGTCTCACCACACAACCTTGTCTCACCCTGCGACAGCGTGTCTCACCACACAGCCTTGTCTCACGCTGCGACAGCATGTCTCACTGCGCAGTTGTTGTTGTGTTGCAGAGCGTACCCTCGATGGTAGACTCAGTTGATGACGCGAGCAGCACAGACTCACAGTCGATCCATCGGTCCGCGACGTCATTCTTCGAGGCTATGAGCACGAGCTGGTTCGGTGGTGGCCGGTAGCTGAGGTAAGGACCTTCTCTCCTCTCTATTACCCGCTTCCCCATTACCCGTTCGGCTCTCTCTCTCTCTCCATCTCTCTCTCTCTCTCTCTCTTTCTCTCTCTCTCTTTCTCTCCCTCTCTATCTCTCGCTTACTCTCCCTCTTTCTGCTCTCCCTCTCTCTGCTCTCTCTCTCCCTTTCTCTCTCTGTTTCTTTCTCTCTCTCTCTCTCTCTCTCTCTCTCTCTCTCTCTCTCTCTCTCTCTCTCTCTCTCTCTCTCTCTCTCTCTCGCACTGTCTCTCCCCCACTCCCTCTTCCCCTTATCTCTCCTTCTTCTCTCTCGCTTCCTCTCCCCTGTCTCTTTCTCACTTGGTGAACTGCTGCGTATAGACCGTGATACTGCAGTGTGATTAGACTATAATTAGCACAGTTGTCTCCACCTCATCATAATTGAACCGACCCATAATTTTGTCTTTGATGAGTGGCTTCGTTAATCTATCTTATTCACGCCCCACGTTGACCAGCCACGCGTGACTAGGTGTGCACAGTATTTACTCGCTAACATGCAGTGCTGATGATGAGTGCTGCTGCGTCTATAAACGCATCGCTGCTGTTCCAGGGCTCGCTAATTCTGCTATTACTCGCCAGGAATCCCCGGCAGTGGTCGCAGGGGGGTGAACGAGCACGCTGTATGCTGCTGCCACCTGGTGGTAAACCGGTGTGCTATGCGTGGTCGGGTATGGTCGTTCGTGGGGCGACTTGATGTGTGGGATTGGGATTCAGTTTAATTCTATTCCATAGATTCGTTGCGTGATCTAACGTCTCTGCGTGCATTGTTGCCACAGTAAAAGCTTTATGTTTGAAATTCAAGAAACTATAGAGTATATAGGGTCTAGGTCACTACTAACCAAGGCAATTAAGTCCGCAGTAGCTCTCATGGTGTGGTTGTCTTACACACATTCACCACACAGTCTCACTGAAGCAATGTCACAATTTCTTGTAATATCAGCGGTATGGATTGTTAAACACAGTTGCCGCTTGAAGTATTATTACAGTATCTAATCAGCCTTCATGGTATTAAATGCAGTAATTTAGGGTAATGGTAGTAGCTGCCAGTAAGCTCGGGTAGTGGTAGCTGTAAGTGAGCCAGGGTAATTGTAGGCTGGCAGTAAGGTAGGGTAATGATAGTTAGTAGTAATATGAGCAAGGGTAGCGCAAGCTGATAGTAAGCTAGTGTATTGTTAGCTGACAGTAAGCTAAGGTATCCATTGGTAGCTGACAGTAAGCTAGGGCATTGTTAGCAGATAGTAACCTATTGTATTATTAGCAGATAGTAAGCTAAGGTATTGGTAGCCGGCAGTAAACTAAGGTATTGGTAGCCGGCAGTAAGCTAGGACAACGGTGTCTGGCAGTAAACTAGGACAGTTTTAGCTGCCAGTGTTCCTCTGTACTAGTAACTAGCAGCATACGTTAGCGATGCACCGTGTGTCGGCGATAATACTAGTGTTATATAGATGTGCTGAGTAAGGGCCGCGCGTCTGCTATATACTCCCCCGTCAGATCTGCCGTAAGCTGATTACGGCCACGCGCGCGCTTACAACACGAGAAGCGTCTGGCGGGCGGCGGCATCGTCCGCCACGCTCGCCCGTGCCGCCGCCGCCGCTGCTGCCGTAGCCGCCATGTTTTCTAATAGGTCCTACTCGAAGTAATGGATTTCGCCGGCAGAAGAAGTGCGTTTTTCCGGCGTTAAATTCGCGAGATTATGCGCTGCTGCCGACGCTGCGCTGCGATGAATTTTTCATGCGCCGTTTCTCCTGAATTCGATTCCTGGCGCCTGCCGCCGCGACGTATTGTTATCGTCGTCGTCGTCATCGCTGCTGCTGCTGTTGCTGGTGTTGTTGCTGTTGCTGGTGTTAATCCTGTTGTTGTTGTTGCTGCTGCGGCTGGTGGTGGTGGTGGTGGTGCTGCTGCTGCTGCTGCTGCTATTGCTGCTGCCGCCGCCGCCGCCGCTGCTTCTGCTGTTGCTGGTGATGTTGTTGTTGCTACTGCTGCTGCTGGTTGTAGTGGTAGGAGTGGGTGCTGCCACTGCTGCGACTGCTACAGCCGCAGCCACCGCCACCGTTATTTCTTCTGCTGCTGTTGTTAGTAGGCGACTACTCGGCTATATGTAATTGTCTTCCAACCTTGATCAGATGCCTAATTGTGGGCGAATAGCAACGCGTGGGAAAAGGCACGTCGTCTGCACGAGTTCGAAATGGCCGTGTAAATAAGTTTAGACTCCCCGTTGCCTAATAGAGACGACGTGCGCCGTCTGCGTGTGTATACGTTATGCTCACGATCATCTCCGTAATATGATTATTGTTTCACGCCTTAAAGCTGCGCGATCACGACCCTCCAAGTTGCATTACTCTACGTACCTTAAAGATGCACGGTCGCGTTACTTATAACTATGCACGTCTCTCGTTCCTTGAGAACGAATTTCCACGTGTCTTAAAGCTGCACGGCCGCGTTACATAACCCTACATGTCTTGCGTTTCTCGAGGGTGAATGCCTGTGCGCTTTAAAGCTGCACGGTCGCGACGTCGCGTGCTTTCCTCCCGTATATAAAAATGGAAATTGCTGTTACATTGCCATGCTTGCGTCGGTCGCAGGCGGTCGCGGAAGTTTTCGTAATGCGTCGCCATTCGTGCGACGACAAAGGGCTCGCGCGTGTCTCCGCGGCGCCGCACAAAGGCCCCATTCCAACGTCCTTCTCCGAGTCTGCATGAAAAGGCCATTCTGACGTGCGCCCCCCTCCCCTTTCCTCCCGGGCCAGCACAAAGGGTCAATCTTGCGGGTGGGCGTGCGTGCGTGCGTGCGCACGTGTGCGTGCGCACGTGTGCGTGCGGGGTCGTTGTCGCCAGCTCGGTTCGACGCAGCGATTCTGGATTCGCGCATTGCTCTCTGTATAGGAATTCAAGGGCAGCGCGACAGGCAGAGCGTGAGTGCAGGCCACGCTGGGGGCGTGTGGTCCCCGTAGCATGCATGTAGCTTTCTTAGACTAGTTGGAAGCTCGGACTACTAGACTACTTCTATTTCTGCTACTTCCTCTACTAATATGTAGCGTCGGCTAACCGGTGACCGGCTTCGGCTATGTCGTGTGGAGTTATATTAGGCATTAGTGGTGGGGTTGCCGGCGGTCCCGGACCCCCGGTTCTAGGCGCCGGTTGAACTGCGTGCGCAGCATGGTATATTTTACCCCTTCTTTCGCTCATATCCCATTTGTTCCCTCACCTCCTCCCCCTCTCCTTTCCTTTCTCCCATCTTGTGATTACTTGCATGACCGATGCAAGTACGCCCACGTCTACTAATGGTGATGGTGATAAAACTGCAATAGCATCGTCCAGTGTGCGCGATTTCTCTTTCTCTCTCCTCCTCTCTACGCTCTCATCTCTCCTGGTGAGTGCTGACTGTTGGGCGCGCGCGGCCGACTGTGGCGTGCGTGTGTGTATGTGTGTCTTTCTTTATCTCCGTAATCTCTTTACTCTCTTCTCTCTCTCTCATCTCTCTCGTCTATCTCTCTTCTCTCTCTCTCTCTCTCTTTCTCTCTCCCTCTCTCTCGCTCCCTGGCGCGCGCTCTCGCTCTCCTCTCTCTCTCTTCCTCTGTATCAACAATCTCTCTCTCCCCTCTCTCTGTATCTTCTTCCTCTCTCTCTCTCTGCTCTCTTCTCTCTGTCTCTCTCTTCTCTCCTGCCTCTTCTTCCTCTCGTCTCTCTCCTCTCCTCTCTCAGTAGTGTCTCCCTCTCTCTCTCCTCCGTCATCGCCTCTGGATTCTGCGAGTATTGCGACGTAACAATAAGCTGCGCGAAGGACGCATTGAGCATCAAGGCAAGCGATCGACGATGTTGCGATTGTTCATGCTAGTCCCTCACGACGAACGAAGATCAGCGATAATTCACAGCGCTGCACCAACGAACGCATCGAGCAGGCTCCTATTGCGCGTAGGAAGTTCCGTTGCCATTGCAGGTTCCTGCCTACACACGCGCTGCACACACACACACACACGCACCGCGGCCGCCGCACACGGCGCACACACCACCACGGCAGTCGGTGAAGGCTCTCGTTCTCACTCTCAGGTCAGCTCTACCCCCTGTTGTCCCTCTATGTATCGTTCCCTCTTACTTATTACCTCCCTCGTTCTCCCCCTATCTGTCTCGCCCTCTTCTCCCGCCTTTCTTTCATTTCCGTCCGCTTCCCCTAATCGCGCACGACGAGAGAGTGGTTCGTCCGATTATATAGCCACTGAATTACGAGTGGTTAGCGCTGCGATATGTAGGTATCGCGTCGTGCCTCGCACGTGCTGAGCGTTAGTGCGTGCCCCCCCCCTCGCTTCACTCACTCTCTCTCTCGATCTTCTGCTCAATTCCTCTCTCTCTCTCTCTCTCTCGTCTCTCTCTCCCTCCTCTTTCTTCTCGCTCTCTCTTTCGATCTCTCGCTATCTATCTAGCTCTCTCTCTCTCTCTCTCTCTCATCTCTCTGTCATCGTCTCTACTCGTCTCTCTTGCTCTCTCGCTCTCCGCTCTCTCTCTTACTCTCTTCGCTCTCTCGCCTCTCTTCTCTCCTCGCTGCATTCTCTTCTCTCTCTCGTTCTCTCTCTGCTCTGCTCTCTCTCTCTTCTCTCTCTCTTCTAATCTCCTCTCTCTCTCTCTCTCTCTCTCTCTCTCTCTCTCTCTCTCTCTTCTCTTCTCTTCCGCTTCTCTCGCACTCTCAGATCTCTCTCTCTCTATTTATTCCCTCTCCCTCCCCTCTCTTTCTCTTTCTGATCATCTCTCCCCCCTCTCTCTCTTATCCCCCTCTCTTTTTTTCATCCCTCTCTCTCGCTATCGTATCACGGCAACAGACGATTGGTCACGCATAGACGGTGTTGAGCGATAGCAGGTAATGTTTGCCAGGACACGCGTAGACACATACGCGTGCAAGCGCCGGGCCAGCGGGCAGGCAGGCAAGCGACCACAGCACCCGGCCCGCCCGCTCAAGATTTTGTGGGAACTGCTTTCGCAGCGAATTACTACGCCCCCCTAATACCATGCATTCAAAAATCATATTTTTCATTGCAAACCGGGGAAGTACTTATTATTTATATTAACTATACAAATAATTATTATATATACTATCGTTCTGCAATTGACAAAATATGGATTATATATATATATATATATATATATCAGGGGTTAATAATGACAAATATATGCGTCGTCCATGTTATAAATAAAAAATTCGCGCGGCTCGCATCACGTAGCTATTTATGCTTGCGTGACCAAAAAAAAAAAATATTTTGACGTTCTTTGGTTAGTGTGTTCGGTCCCTACTGCACGCCCAAGACAACCCCGGGGAGTCGAGCCAGCGCGAGCGGCGGTCGATGCCTTGTCGAAGTTCTAGTTGATGCTGGCGTAATTCGGGCGTTGTTCTGCGAGCCTTTGACACTCAGCGTGTGTGCTGCTGTTCAGGGCCGGCGTGACTGACTGTCTGGTTTCGAACGTTTCCAGATCTCGGCGACAGTGTCTGTCCTGTCACCACGTTGACCAGAGGAGCCAGAGGAAGACAAAGAGGGGGAGAAAGAGGAGGAATCGCAAGGGAGTTGACCATTTGCTGCGATGGTGGTTTTAGGGGAGATCAGCCCAGCCGACACTGCGGTTGCAGCGTGGAACGCAACAAGACACGAACTACGGTGGGAGATGTCATGCGGCAGGACGTGGGATATGGACATGGAATGGCATGTCACATCGCATGAAATAGGGCAGGGTATGAAAAGGCACAGCACAGCGTGGAATTATGCCATACAGGCTATCACTACCGTAGCGTATGTTGCCAGGAATGCTACACGTTGCCCAACCTATGCTTAAATAGGGCCCGTATTGTAGGTGGAGATATAAAATCTGTGTAAAAAATGCTATTAAATTGGTTAAATCTATGATAATGAAGAAGGTGTGCGGAATAGGAATATTTATACATAGATGGGACACGACTCTGTGTTGGTAATATATGCTGCACTGCACTCACTGGAAGATGTGCGTGGCGGGTTTACGAAAAATATCATGCTAACCGAAAAAGCCTGGGAACAAGTGTTCGTCAAAGTAATTGTATGTAACTGACTTACTGTTGAGGTTGAAATCCCAGAAGAAGGCTCTTCATTACTGGTGACCTCGCACCTACGTCACGTGTCATTGCTGGTGCAACTGCCATATGGTAATGTCAAAAACTTGCATGATCGGTGCTGGAATATTTTCCTGTTTTCAATAAAATTGTTTTATATTTACCAGAACTCGACGCGCATTATGCATTCTTTCCGATTTTAGAATCTTTTTTCTGCCTCCGGGAGGAAACGGGGATGCAGCTAATATTTGTAGGAAAAGAGAAATAATATGATCAAAGCACAAAAATCCACCATCTGTGCCGGAGTAAAACTCGGCTTAGGAAATGTAAAATTCATTGTGATCTGTTCAAAAAACGTCATGGAACTTAGGATAAAATCCACGTATGGCTTTATGGATGGTCTCCCTTCTCCTCTGTAAATATCTGGAGGCTGGGAAGTTTTACCACGCATCAATCGTCTCTGCCAGCAGAGAGCTGTTATGCGTCGCCCATGCACCCTGCCCACGTCACCCCCCTCTCGCACTTAACTCCCCTGTCATCCCACCCGGCTACCTCTCCCCTTCACCGCCACCCGCAACACCCCCCTCCTCACCCTTCCCACGTCAACCCCCAACCCTTCCCTCACAAACCCTCTTCTTTCCCTCATTAACCTACTTCTTTCCTACAAAGGCTTCCCTCACAAGCTCCCTACCTTACGAACCCCTCCCTGGCCCACACCTCTCTCAGAAGCACCCGAGCTCACTCTCACAAACGCCATACTCCCTCAGGAAAACTCGCTCCTCTTCATAAAATGTCATCTGTTAAGAATAAACCTCACGAGTTCCATCTTCCCGAGAAAAAACCACCCTTTCTCACAAACGCCCTATCTCCTTCACAAAACCCACTTCCTTACGAATAACGACTCTAGTGCCTCATAGTCACCATTGCCTCATGAAATACACGCCCCTCGCTTACAAAACCACCCCTTGCGTAACTCCTTCCCGTTTGACATCGCGAGAGCTCCTCGCTTTACAAAACCTACCGGGAGCAAGAAAATGGCGACCGCGATGCGGAAATTCTGCCGAGGTTTGTTCGCAGCCAGAAAGACTCGACGCGAGCGTTACACTCCTCTACTCTTCCGCCTACACAGGAATCGGGCGACAGATGAGAAGGAAGACACATGGCGCGCGTATCGTCCTATGTACAGGCTATTCACTCAGTTAATCTGTACGAGGGAAGTACGTACATGTAAATATATGAGTAAATTAGAAGAGTCTATTATTACCTGCCAGCGGGTGGATGTAGTAAAAGCTAGTGCCTGATTGCGCTTCGGCGCACTGTTTTAATTATTAGTAATAGTGATCGTGACGGACTGGTATCAATGCAGCCAATTCCTGTACTTGTGGTAATCTATTTCTACTCGTGGTCTTGTAGTGAGGTACTCGCCGCAATGTACTAGTAGAGTCTGTAGTAGCTATGTGTGTATTGATTGTAATAGCCTGATACGTACTGCCATGCGACGTGATGTTAGAGCTCGTTATTACCTCCTCGAACCGCAACGTATCGTATTGACATTTCCAAACATTTGTGGTCTGTTACATGAGTGACATTTCAATTTCGAAAGCTTCTATAATGGTGATTGATCAGCTAGAGTTAACGCACAGGTGCAACGCGCGGGATTAATTTCATTGCGGTGTAAGTTAGGATTTTATATCGTACTTTTATATTATACTAAACTCGGGCATTGTCTGAAAATCGTTTTTCACTTATTACGAGTTTAGATTTTTTCGGTTCATGCCCGGCTTTATTGACGCTCGTAAAAAATCGTTTTAAAAATTGTTCTATTTGCTTCATTTTGCATGAATTAGCTGCGAGGTCTGCAATTAATAACGGCAAACACTAAAAAACATATAGGGAACGGATAAGTGGAAAAATATGCAATATTGCGTTTGATGAGTTCAATTTAACTAAATTCTCGCGTCGAAACTCTCAATTAAAAATGGAAAGTGTGCGTGAGTTTCGCTCTTCAGTTTATGGCTCTGTGAAATTAATAGCACGCTCCGACGTTCTGTCACGTCAAACAAACGGCGCTTGTCTGCCGGCGAAAAATGATGCATTGTTAATTAAAACAAATAATTATGATCGTGGGATGCGCCTTTGACGAGCTGTCATGTGTCGGCGCGGATAATTGCACGTCGGCGTGCTGCGGCAC